ATATCACCTCGGTGGAAGCGAACGTAAAATACAACTAACTCATACACAAACCTTTGCTCCTTGTTGAGCTGGTTGAGAGCAGGTGTTCTACCAAGCTAATTTAGAAGTAAAAAGAACACCTAAATATTTATAGGCAGAGACAGCCTCGATTGTTTCTCCTTCATAATTCCATTTTTCGTATCCTTTTAGCCCACCTCCCCTTCTTAATACGAGGACTTTTGTTTTACTTGAGATAATTTTCATACCGTAATAGCTGTAAAACTTAGAAATACATTTAATTTGCTTTTGCAACCTCCCGACTGTGTCTGCGACTGATGCTCTGTCATCGGTTTACATTAAGGCTGAAATATTTAGGACATCAATATTAAAGATACATTATGGGAGATTAGATAAAGAGCTGGCAGTTCTCACTGTAATAGTTAATAACTAGATACGGTAAAGGCAATTTGCTGAAAATTTTAGTCAAATTGATCCACTCTGAACCGAGATTTTAGCGATTGAATATTGGGGCTAGCCTCGATCATCATTACTAAAGTGGGTAGGATAAAAAAAACATAGTCTCGATTATCCAATATTTGATTTAATTATGAATGAAGTCAAACAGCAAATCGGAACCTAATCCAATAAACATTGCAGGCTAGCGATGCCATCGAAAGTTGATTATGGTCAGGCCCAAAGAAAGACCTGCAATAGGCAGATTTAGCTCTTGCATAATGTATGTTTAATAAAAATTGCAGCATTTCCAGTAATGCATTCAATAATAATGTAAAAAGCAATGAGCTAATCAAACACTCTTGTCTTGTTTCCGTTGATCTGACTTGACACAGGACGTCAGCTGAGAATACATGGAGTTAATTCCCTTCCACACAATTATTTAAAGAGCTGACCGTTCTTGCTATAATAGTTATATTAAAGATAAGATACATCATGTAAGATTTAGATAAAGAGCTAGCCATTCTTCTTATAATAGTTCGAAAACACATAATGTAAAATTAATAATTTGAAAATGTCATTCTAATTACCCTATTGCGAGCGAAGGTATTAGCCATTAAAGGTTTGATAAGACGTGTACAATAATTTCAACCACCGAACTCGTTGTTCGAAGATAAGTCTCGCTCCTCCATATTTAGCTTAAATCAAAATATAGCTGAACTGTTCTAATCTATTTAATATCGGAGATATCCGATGCCATCGAGGGGTGATCATGACCTAGATAAGTTAATTATTGTCTAATTAATAATTTAGAAAACATTTCAGGCCTAAAGAAAGACCTGCAATAGGCAGATTCATCTCTTGCATAATGCACGTTTAATAAAACTGTCGTTGGCCTTCGAGAAATCAACAAATAAACAATAGCATCTACCTTTTCTGAATCCGATTATAAATTAAAAATGGCATCTGAAGTACTATATCCTGTAACCACATTGTTCTTCTTGGAGTAGGTGGTTAGTGTCCCACCATTTGTCGCACCATCAGCCTTTACTAATTACTTTCACATTGTGTTGTAGGATATGTTTTTATTTGTTCATTACAAATTGCCACCCGAAACTATAGTATACACGACTCGTGTACTGATTATAAAATATTAATAGTGTCTTAAATATTGGATATTAGGACGCAATAGTTTCACAGCAAGATAACAACATCAATATTGATTGAAATGGACCAATATTGAATTCTAATTCGTGTTTTTAATTTCGAATAATATGGAAAATATTGAGTTAGAGATTTTGAGAACTCTTGTTAAATCTAGACTGCAATGCTCCGCATTAGCACAAGTTTCTGTGAGTGGCAATACTGGTTTATTGTTATTAGATAATTTAAAAAGTATTTATTTTTTATATACAACGATGAAGGGAATAATATGAATGAATTGGATACGGTAACAAGCAACTTAATGCTTATATAAAACTGCTTCCATAAACGGGTGATATGAATATAAATTTTAAAAGATCAGCTGGCAATGTAATAAAATAAGAATTTTTATCCTTATTAGGGTATGAAGAAAGGGTGCTAAACAGGAAATAAGGAAAATCAAATAAAAGAACAGAAAGAAAAATGAAAAGAAAGATGGGGGCATAAATATAGGGGAGGGTGGGGGTGGATAGAGATTTGAATTAGAAAGAAGCTTGGAAGAACGACGAGTGTAATTACTGCAGTAGGAGAACGAGTAGAAAATCGATTAATTATGATCTATTTATCGATAGCCAGATGTCAGAAGAAAATCATATATCATCAGCTAAATACGGTCTATTAAAGCCACATATAAATTAATAGGGTTATAATTAGAACCAGGTAGTAATGCATGTCATCGCTGATTATTTACAGATACGGCATACAGAGTAAAATCATCTCTTAAAGAAGTGCGTTTCAGGTTTCTTCTAGGATAGTGTTTATGGCGTTTGTTAGTAGCGTGCGGACATGATATAACTAATCATTGTTGGTATGAAGAGTAATGCTTAAGCTTTTTAAGTAACTGTAAGGTGCTGTTATTTTTATTTGTCCTTTCAGTGTTTTTATAATTTTCAAGGAAAGCGTTTGGCTAATCTGCCCAAAAACGCAAATACTTTAAATATTGGAGCAGCCTGGTGGTCCGGAATTGGAGTAGCTATTATTTTAGACATTCCAATGGTCGCGTTATTGGATCCACTGTCCAACTATTTGATTTCATTATTTGAATCGATGTATAACAAGGAATTATATTGGTTGTGATCAAATCAGTAGTACTATAACTCTTAACCCGGTATCATACGTTCCGATCCCATGTGTTCATTTTGAAGATTTCCAGAGAGACAAGGGTGGCTTTTAATTTTCTGATTGCATCTACCAGTACCTACTTGTTTTACAATACCTCAAGCTTGTGAGCAACTGAACTCATCGTATTTATCTGAGAGTTTAAATGTTATCAATTGTTGTCGGATTTTTATTTGCATCTACCAGTATCTTCATCTTGCTAGGAACGGATCTGGTATCTGAGCACAAAATCTGTTCGATGCTGTTGTAGTCTGAGATTAATCAACTGATGTTTTGAACGTAATGGAGTTCGGAGACCATAGCAATCTTTCTTAACTGATCTTGTATTCCATGCTGTTGTAGTCTGAGATTAATCAACTGATGTTTTGAACGTAATGGAGTTCGGAGACCATGGCAATCTTTCTTACGCGTGTAATTGTCTTAGTCATACCTGTTACTGTTTGTCGTTTATGAGAAACAAGAATGTAGTAAACGAATTTGGGGTGGCGGAACAACTCTTGCAGTCTGCACTGATTATTATTCCGAGACCCCTGGTCACTCCAGTAATTATAGTTGAAGATCTTTCATCTGAGGACCTGCTTCATTCACCCAGCTCACCCCCAACGTTAACACCTACGTTATTAGAGAAACGTGACAATATCCAGTCCCTGTTGGACTGTTTTCGAGGTACAAAGCGTGTTTCAAGCGTGACCCCGAATCTTTGCGTGCAAGAACAAGGATCGCGTTTATTAACAGTGCCTAAAGCTGTGCCCTCGGGGGGTCGCGCGACATATGAGTGAACGAGCTAACAGTAATTTAATAACCGAAAATACAGCAAAGGATGTCACAATTAAACGAGATGTAGTTTCGGATATTCTCAAGAGCAAGCACATACCACCAACTATATAGTAACTTTGGTGTGCAATGTAACAACATTATTAAACCTCAAGACACGACCAAGCGAATACTCATTATAACTATGTGAATTCCCCAAATTAAACGTGTGCACTACATAACATTCTTAATGTGCAATATTAAATATAAATTTCAATGGCATTGAATATAACCATTACATTTCGAAATTTGTGTTGACTGGAGATGGGTTTATGTGTCGTGCGCTTAAGAGTATATGTGTCGGCCACAGTGGTTTGTGGACCTGACATTGACAGCTATTTAAAGGGAGAATAACACTCTTGCTGGCTTGATAGCTCCAGAAAATAAAAAAAATAGCCTTATTCTAAGTACTAGATGTATTAGTGTCCTACATGTTGTGTAAATTATCCATTAAATCCTATTTTACTTGTCCAGAGAGTTCAAAAATATTTTAAAATCCAAGTCACATTTGAAAAGCTTTACATCAGAATTTTCAAATCTTTTAGTTGAATTTTTCCAATTTTTTAAATTAAGTGTGTTAAGATGAAATTTGTATCATCAATTAATTGGAATATTGTAAAATAGTACAATTTGTTGACCAGAATAAAGATTGGGACATATTATTCAGTTACAACAAGAGTGGTATTGAGCCTTTAACCCAGATGGCCTTAACCTTTGTGACCTTATTTTTGTCGAACATCACTTGCGTAAAAACAGACGATCAGAGTTGTTGAATTTTATCGCGCATTACTATCGCGTAACAAAGTTGTTGATAGACATATTTTCTTGGCTGGCAACACAGTGTTAAAGTCTATATTTGTAATAAAATATTTTGATATCCTCTTTACTAAGTTTTACCGTGGGTGTGAATTATATACACCAGCATGTCATACATTGTGGTCGGTCATGTCCGTCGGTCCGTCATAGTAGGCTTGATCTCGCTTTAACCACGTTCATCTTATCAAGTCTCTGTCTACGGTTGTATGCCGTCTGACTTGCCATGTTTTCATTTTGCAAAATTCAAATATTTTTCATATATATTTAGCCAGGTGTGCCGCTATTTTTTTCATGTTTTCCAAGGTGTGCTGTTGGCAAAAAAGGTTGAGAACCACCGCTCTAAGGTCAGTTTCCAAGATTTTTTGTTGTTGTTTTTTTTTTCTATTTTCCAGTACTAAAACTGATAATTACAAATTCCACATTTGGAAACTAAAGTTCAATAGTGACATATGAGTAGAGGCGCCCATGTTTTTTTTCTAAAAGATAAATTTTATTTACAAAATATGTACATAATTAATACGTATACTAATCCTAAAAGGACTGACTAATAGTAATACACAAACTTTAAAAGATCGATAAAACTAGTCTTTTGTCTCTTGATTTGTTTTCTTGATATTACATATTCTAAAAATAGTTCTTTAATAAGACACATTAATATAATAATATTTACATATTTACAGATTCATTTTTTTGTTGAGTTATCGTTAAACAGAAATGTCGTTTTGCTAGCCACGATTTCGCGTCAATTTAGATTCAAGTCGTGTAAGACTTGGTGATGTAGAATATTCTTGAAACCATATCCAATGCTATCTGGTAGTCAGAACCAAAATAGAGTATTTACTATCAATGAATATGAAACCTTGTTGAAACGTCGCAGTGAAATAAACAATAGTAAATGTTATCCATAAAAGTGTGTTTTTGATTTTGAGAATGGATATGATTCACCTAGTACTTCCATAAACATACATTATACAAGAGTTAAATCTGTCTATTACAGGTCTTTCTTTAGACCTTAAATGTTATATAAATTAATATAATTTATTCAACATTAACAACACATTCAACAATCTATTCATCTTTCAAATTCTCACGGTTTAAACGTACATTGTTCAAGAGCTAAATCTGTCTATTAGACCTGAAATGTTATCTAAATTAATGATTAGACATTTATTTATTAACTTATCCAAGCCATAATCAACCCTGGTGCCATCGTTAGACTTCGATATTTAGTAGATTCGAATACATTTTGTGATACATAATTTAACGTAAAGATGGATAATGCAGACTTTGTTTAGTACTGACAATCGAGGCTAGCCTAAATTGAATCGCTCATATCTCGATTCAGAGTGAAGTAATTTGACTGCAAATTTCAGCATAATCTGTTTTCATTATCTATTTTAAGTGTTATAGCGAGAACTGTCAGCTCTTTATCTAAACTTACCGAATTTCCCTTTAAGCTGCTGAAACACAGCTATGAGGGTACGACCACCATGCGGTATAATGAGTATAAACTAATGCAATATAGCAATTCGTGCTTCCCTTATATTAGACTAGTATTATAAATACCAACTGGACAATTGTTAAATGTGGGCAAGTTTATTAACCTCTAGCGGGTGGGCTCGAAGCTGCTCCAAGATTTATGCATTGACAATGTGATGGTACTTCATGTGCTACCAGTCTTGCGCCTACAGCGGGTGTCCAAACCAAACTCCAGTGAGCTCGTGTGACTTGTTTACATCTTGCTGTTCCACCAGCACACGGTGCATTCTCATTCCTGAAATTAACAATACCCAATCTGATTAAAACGAAATGAAATGAAATGGGGTTTAACGTCCTACTGTTCTGCTCCTAAACTGGGCTGATGAAGACGGGCATACGCCATACAGTGTGCTATGAGGGAAATTTTGCCCGGGCAGCAGCACTGCGGCCTACTCTTATATCGAATTCCAACTGCCTTGGGATCTTTTACGTGCATTCCAATATATACACGGCACCTCGATTTTTCGTCTCATCCGAAGGACTAGACAGCTGTCCTTGTCAGGTCCTCCGACAAGGGGAAACCACGTCGGAAAATCCCGATGAACTTTCTCGACCAATGCAGGGATAGAACACGCGACCTCCAGGCTAGCGAGCCAGCGTCCTAACCAACTAGCCACCGTGGCCCCCCCCCCCCCGATTAAAACACAGATCCTATTTCGTTTCGTTTTTTGTATTGTTCAAATTTTCGTTTTACCTTTCCTTACTACACTAGGGTCTGGAAAAGTTGTTATATGACCGGCGTTCTGGTTGAAGCGAAGGATTAGCCAATGAAATTGTCTGTTACAACGAGTTCTTGACGTTTTTTGTAGAGTTCAAAATTCCGTTTTACTTTTCCTTACTACAATAGGATCTGGAAGAGTTGTTATATGACCGTCGTTCTGGTTGAGGCGAGGGATTAGCCAATGAAATTATATGTTACGGCGAGTTCTTGACGTGCTATGCACGGAACTGTGGGTAAACCGCTAGAAACGTCAACGCTGATTGATTAATCAGTATCTGACGTCATGGGGTCAAAAGCCGTTCGTACGTCCAATACAACGAAACCTGATTTAATCAGATTCAACAATTACCGACAATAAGCGTCATGTGAAGAAACTTTGGGTGAAAATCTGTTTCTAGGATGCATCATCTTCAATAGAAGGCTTGATCTCACTTTAACTACGTACATCTTATCAAGGCCTTCATGTAACACCCTGCATATTTCTTCACTAATCTTAATTGGGTATTCACCCAGTTTGAGAGCATATCAGATTCCTCGATCATCGCGAATAGCAAGTCTCGCGCAAGTAGGTTTGTGTTTCTATTTCTATTTAGGCGTGTTTGATATATTATGTTTGATATTATTCAAAATCAAGTACATTTATCCCCCCAACCCCAAACACATAATATTTCCAAATTTATTACAAAACCCTATCCGATGGATAACAACCACTGGATTTAATTGTTATCCATATTATTGTGTTTTTTAATACGTCGTCATTTTCTGTCACATAATAATAAGGTTCAATAACGTGACAATATTTAAAAAATAACATCACGCTATGACTAAGTATAATGTCTAAAGTCTGTTAAGTCCATGCTCGTAAGCGAGATTATTAAATAACTGGTCTGATTCCGATTTCTAACTCAGGGGCAAATAACTCGTCTGAAACCGATTCTCTTTCAGTAAATATAATAATACCAAGGTGAGAAATGGGGTGGAATTAAATAATAGGGATCAAAGTTCACGGTTCCGCCAACCAGTGGCAATACTCAATAAATTTCGCTAGGTAGACAATCGAGTCAACGATGACGTTTTAAAATTAACAGACTTTAGACATAATACTTAGACATAGCTTGATGTTATTTTTAAAATATTTTCCACGTTGCAGGCACCTGTGCGTATATCTGGAACGTTATTTGAGTATAAGGTTTAAATAGCACGTACATGTACATACATACATGAAATGAAATGGGGTTTAACGTCCTACTGTTCTGCTCCTAAACTGGGCTGATGAAGACGGGCATACGCCATACAGTGTGCTATGAGGGAAATTTTGCCCGGGCAGCAGCACTGTGGCCTACTCTTATATCGAATTCCAACAGCCAAGGGATCTTTTACGTGCACGCTAATGTGTACATGGGACCTCGTTTTTCGTCCAATCCGAACGACTAGACAGCTGTGTCACGCCCTCCATCCTGCATCACTGACAAGGGGAAACCACGCTGGACGTACATACATGTGGAACGTTACTTATGTATAATCGTTACTTACGAGCATCGTCCTGATGGGATAAACTGATATGCGTTATTAAAGTTGATTATTGTGTGATTATTTCCATCAAAATCTGTAATTTGTTCTACTATCTCATAACTTAACTCACTGAAACAAAATCAAACAAATTAAGATTAAATTGTTAAGGTCACAATTCTATAGAATACAATTACTGCGTATTACGGAACGATTTCGACTAGGCTTATCTAGTCATTATTATAAAATATGAAATATAACAAGACAATATATATATGTACACAGCAATACCTGTTAACTCTAACCAACTAGAGACACCATTCTGGGGGGGTTGGATGGCCGAAAGGTTAGCATTCGGACATCTAGCCGCACGTTTTTCGAGCGGGAACAAACATAATAATATACTTACGTTACACAACAGCCACAAATGCCATCATTGATGTACGGCGAGGTCCCGGGCTTACTGAATCCAGATTCTGTAAATCGACTAACAACTATCTTCTTAACAGATCTGTAAGAACTTGCACGGGGTCTCGCATTAAAACTTGTTGGTACCATTGCCAATAAATCACCCTCCGACATGAAACGTCCTGGAAGGATTCTCCGGATATCGTTTGGTCCATTTACCGAGCACATGTCTTGTCGAGGAGGACTGTTATAATTATTATATGGGTTCGATATAAACGGATTATCCCGTGATGTGGAGATACTTGGGCGTCTGTTATAATTTGGTGCACTATAATAGAATGCCCCAGAAACCTGACACGAAGCACAAGATAGGAAAACGAATATGGTGGTCACAGATATTCCCATCTGAAAAGTAACAAAAATAACCAATTAAATAAAAATACATCATTTTTAATAAAAAAAAAACAAGTTACTTTTAATAAGAAATGACCTGTTCTTTGAAAATAAAAAAAAGTAGTTCCTTTTCAACTGACCAATCAAATTCATAGCACACAGTAGATTATGAAATTCATCACACAAGCGATATCTACTGTAGAATGTACTATTGGGTGATAAATCTTTATTGTTTGATTCTAATAAATATATCGGATATATAGAGAATCTCCTACCAGTCTTTTTTGATATCAAAAAATATCAACAGAAGTTGATAAAGTAACAAAAAACGAGGCTCTGCGAAACAAAAGAAGAATCTGTGTTTTAATCAGATTACCATTCAATCTGCTGCAATGTAATTCTATGAATATCGATAATGTAATGAAGAGTAAGGAATATTAAAATATGTTGATGTATATATTAGCAAAAATATAACTTTTGCCAGAATGACGTCATTTTTAGTGACCAATTGGTTACATCTAAGGAATATTCACAGAATGCTGCATATTTTTTTATGAAAATTAACAAAAAGTGATTCCCACAAAATTGCTTATTTCCCAGACATGTCAAAAATTTGAAATGATCTATGGATTTTCGTTTGCTTGCTCTTATATATGACTTATATATGCTTTTGAAAATAGTTGTGTTTCAGCCTTAAGATCTAAACTGCAGGAAAACGAAATTCGAAAATTGGTTTCAGTCTTGCTCTGCTTATTTACAACAGCAGCTAAATTTTAACCCCTAAAAGTGTTCCGAAAAGGTAAAAAAAAAATGCTCGTTTCTCTCAATCAGAGCTACAAAGTCTCAGAAAACAAAAATCGGAATCATTTTACCCGACATAATTATTCAAATTTAAATAAGGGCTAACCTTTTACACCAATTTACTTATTTCTGAGAGTTCGCATGGTTCTGACATGTGCCGACTTTTCAAAATAGCTTTAATCTTTAAGTCACTCAAAATTATCCAATGAGAATTTTTGTGCGAAATAAGCAAGGTGGAAACATAACAAAAACCATATCAATCTGAACAAAAACAACATTGTTTCAAACAACCTTCAAAGTGTGAAAACCTAATAAGTATTATTGTCGCGAAACAAACGGGCGAATTCCCTTCACTAGACATTTCTAACCGAATGCACCACATTTGTGAAGTACCTGTCTACCCTAATGCGAAATGCAAGTGCCCCATTTAACGCACGCGTAGTCGAAATGTTTATGTTCTGAGAAAGCGACAATGTCGAAATATATGAAATTTACAAGAGAATACTGGATTTTATCGGACTTCTAGTCATTTATTCTAAGAGAAGAAATCAAAGGGATGACAATTCCAAGTATGTCACAAAGTTTTAGCCATTTTAATTAAAAAATGAAGGCATGGCAAGCATTTTTCGAGACGGAGTATCACCTGGAACAGACAGTAGGTATAAACTAGGTAACTAAACGTACCTTCTTTTTTTTAAAAAAAACTCGCCAAATTGAGGAAAACAGGTTTTAGTATGCTTGAATGATCAATCACTTGAAATAATATGCTTAAAAAAAAAGTTTAATTATTCACATATTTTTCAAAAAAAAATTAGTAATCGTTACGGGAAATTTCATATTTTGAACTGGTAACCGTTAAAATCTCGTTAGCGTGTGCGCATTGTATCATAAGGTGTGTCATTGAGTCAACTATCGTGGTTACGATTCCTTGGTTGTACGTGACAAGGAGTAGGGTCGCCTGTCCAACCTCGTGGTTTTTCGCCTGGTCCTCCGGTTTCCTCCCACTGCTAATGACCCCTACGCGCAAGCGAATTATTGAAATAAAATAGGACTATATGTTAGTCCCAAAATGACCTAGTTTGTGTCCAGTGGACGTTAAACCCCCCACCCCTCTCTCTCTCTCTCTCTCTCTCTCTCTCTCTTTCTCTCTCTCAATCAATCCAAGCTACCATGTGTGTTAACATTTTATCTACACCCTACTTGCTGTTGTTTAAAATTTAATATCACCTTTTAAATGATAAAAACATAAAAGCTAGACTCAAATATGTCATTCATGTTGTTAAAAGTTGAGCGATTGGTTTGAATATCAATGGTATAAATTGTTTCTGAGTATGGATGATAAATGCCAATCATGTGGTTTTAAAAGTGACGGATGATAGACAATCAGTTATCATTTCCTCACCTTTCCGGGATAAGGCCCTGGGCACGTTACATGGCCTAGACATATAGGTTTATAACGTTCTTAATTGAGGTTTTTTGTAGGTAGTGTTGCGTTCCATCCTCGGCACCCTCCATGGCCACTATCACAAAAGCGATTTACCCAAAGGAAATGAAATGAAATGAAATGGGGTTTAACGTCCTACTGTTCTGCTCCAACTGAGTTAATGAAGACGAGCATACGCATTACAGTATGCTATGCAGGAAATTTTGCCCGGGCAGCGGCACTATGGCCTAATCTTATATCGAATTCCAACTGCCAGGGGATTTTTAAGTGCACTCCAATGTATACACGGGACCTCAGTTTTTCATCACATCCGAACGACTAGACAGCTGCCCTTGACAGACAGACCCGCCATCCTGCACCACTGACAAGGGGAAACCACGCCGGAAAATGCAGATGAACCTTCTCGGCCAATGCAGGGATCGAACACCCAACCTCCAGGCCTGCGATCCCTGCATTGGCCGAGAAAGTTCATAGGGATTTTCCGACGTGGTTTCCCTTGTCAGTGGTACAGAACGGAGGGCCTGACAAGGACAGCTGTCTAGTCCTTCGGATGAGACGAAAAACCGAGGTCCCGTGTATACGTTGGAATGTACGTAAAATATCCCTTGGCAGTTGGAATTCGATGTAAGAGTAGGCGATAGTGCCGCTGCCCGGGCAAAATTTCCCTCATAGCGCATTGCCGTCTTCATTAGCCCAGTATAGGAGCAGAACAGTAGGACGTTAAACCCCATTTCATTTCATTTCATTTAAAACAATGTCATGTTAAAAAGCGAGTCAACGTTAAAATATAAGCAAGCTGAACCTATCAATCGGACATAGCATCTTCCAATAATTCTTTTACTCAACTGTAAAAGTTTTAAGCAATGCCAATGTCGTGTTAGAAAATCTATAAACTTACCGTTAATGAAGAGTAATTAAAATATTTAAATGTGTCCTCCTAGATTTATTGTTCTTTTATAATATTTACACTTCGTAGATTAAAACGCTATACTAAACCCCAGCTCGAAACAACCAGCAAAACCAACTTGGATTAAGAAAAAATTATAGAAATTTTCCCTTATAACACTGAGTAACGTCCGGATGTTAGCGATTCCGTGGGCAAGGTGTTGATATTTATCGAATATGTAATTTGTCTCTTTTCTAATCATTGACCTATCCCGTTTCTTTGGCTTCCCTCTTCCCACAATAGTCGCTCTGTTCTACCTGAGCTAAAAACGTAGAGTAACTGGTTTTGACAAGATACATATTAAAACGCATTGTGGGTCATCTGTCATGTGTCAACTATTTGTATCGCTGTCTTGACTTGCGAGTCGAGTGCGCGGTGTGGTAAGGTTCGTTGTCTAATCGAGTATATTCAGATATTATGCAGAAAGAAACGGGATATTTCGGTAATTAACACAAAGTTATTTTAAGGAAGCTAAATCTCTAATTTTTGGGACCTAGAAATTGACACAAATGGGTCGAAACGCTTTTATGATAATGTAATATGAATGTATATCAACTGATTTACATTCAATCGTTTCCGTTTTTACTCTAATTTCAAATCGTTTCTGTTCGGCGAAATACGCCAGAGGTCTCAATCGAATGGTCATCTCTAGCGTCTGGTTATTCCAGTCTACACCGATAGTATTTATTGCGCATGCTCTCCAGATAAAAATATGACGTCACCGTTTGACACGACTTGATGAATATGTCTAGTCTCGTTCTTAGAGTCCCTTGTTACAAACTGCGCTGAAACGCATTATGGTACACGATTCGTGTACTAATGGTAAAATGTTTATTTTGTCTTAAATATTGGATATCAGAAGCCCATCTTTTCGCGGTAAGATGACAACATCAATGTTGATGTAAATTGACAAATAATTCGTGTCCTGCCTCACTGACAAGGGGAAAAACGCCGGAAAATCTGGATGAACTTTCTCGGCCAATGCAGGGATCGAACACCCGACCTCCAGGCTAGCCTAAGGATCTTTTACATGCATGCCAATGTATACAATGACTAGACAGCTGTCCTTGTCAGAGTTAGGTTAGAGTTCTTTCGTCTATGATGACCGTGCACTACTAATATGTACATATGGGCACGTCCTTTCAAGCAAAGGGGGGGGGGGCGAATGATTAGCACGTGCGCGTTGTATCATACGGTCTGTCATTGAGTTAACTAGCGTGGTTTCGACTCACCGGTCGTACGTGATAAGGAGTAGGGTCGCCTGTCTAACCTCGTGGGTTTTCTCTGGGTCCTCCGGTTTCCTCCCACTGCTAAAAATCCATACGCGGAAGCGAATTATTGAAATAAAATTGAACCATGTGTTAGTCCCGAAATGATCTAGTTTATGACGAGTGGATGTTAAACCCATCTCTCTCTCTATCAATGTCCGCCATCTTTAGGCTTATTGGACGTCCCGTTTATCATCGTTGGTCATCCGCCTTTTCGTTATTTCAGAATTAATGTAAGTTAATTATAGATGCCCGTGTATAAATAACTGTGTTTACTGTACTGTTGGTTTTGGGGTGGTTTTTTTTTTTTGGGGGGGGGGGGGTCGTCTATTCAGTATTAATAATTTCTAAAACATATTTCTGCTATTCATGCTGACAAACCTTCTTTCTGATTTAATAAATGTTGACCACCGCGTCGTAAAACAGATGAACATTAATTTTGTTGATGATGTAGCATGAATTGTGACCTGTTGGGCCGAAGGGAGTGTGTGTGTGTACATACGATGATTATGCACGTGGGTGTTATCTCTATAACTT